ATGCAGATGACACAACCCTGCTTGCTGAAACTGAAGAGGACCTGAAGCGCCTGCTGCAGAGTGTCAAGGACTGCAGCCTACAATATGGATTGAGGCTGACCATGTATATTATCTCTAAAATAGCCTTCAGTGTAAACAGCCATTTTTAAAGCTCAGTAATGGAAGAGAAGTCACTAAGTAACTGTCACAAAAATTACCTCTTTTCAAATTCTGCTTTCTTTGAACTTTAAGATTTGGGTGACTTTACAGTCATATTAAGAAATAGATCATTTACTTTGAACCAGTGGTACTTGAAATGGAAATTAAATGTGTCTATAAATCTATTAGGCTTCAGGATTTACTGTGATAGTTCCAACTCCCTAAATGTTAAAACACCAAGTGTGGAATTGTGTACATGTGTTGACATCAGAAAGTTCTTTTAAACACTAAAAAAAAGAGACATTACATTAAATTATTTTAATACTAATTTATTTGTCATTTTATCTGTGTAAGCTAAAACCCAGTTTATTCTGAATGTTTTCCAGCAATGTGGTTCTAAATAGAAATGTTAAATTATTATAAAAAGTTAACATTATAAAGAACGAAGTTTAACTGTAACTTAATGCAGAGTCCAGTGATCCTTACAATCATCAAGGCTTTTACAATTCTTAGTTCTAAACAAGATTATTATTCATCAAGAAGTGCAAACTGATTTTAACATTCAATTTTAGTGAAAAGAAGGCACTGTGTGTTCTTCCTGAATAACACCATTAGTTTCTCACATTTTATGTTTACATCTAGTCTGAATTATTTTGTAATAATCTTCATTTAATTTTGTATCACAACTGTTGGATGACTTTAAAATCTAAGACCCTGAAATTAAACTGAATAGCTGAAGTATAATAAATTTTTCTTCAGCTAAAGTTTTAAGTGAGTCTATGTCACAAACAAGTTCTTTTTCAGATACATCTTAGCACTTGTCCAGAACCGCAAATGTTATGCTGAAACTATTACAATTCTAGTTAAACTTCCTTATAGCAGAGGAGAAATGTTCCAGTCCCGACCAGGTCTCCTCTCTCTTCCAGGCTTCAGAGCTGGACAGACGCCAGCCTTTAGAGAGTTGGCGCTTACGCTTGGCCTTTGAGCTGGGAGTCCAGTTTTGCCTGGAATAGAAAGAAAAAAGGAGCTAGCCATTACTGTCCTTGTATCTTCCCCTGGTCCTTCCTAATCCTTTTCTTCATCTTTCTCTGCTTAGAGGCTGGAGAGCCACGGTCTAGTAGAGAAGTGGGAATTAACTTCTCATGGTAGAGGAGTCTGTAGGAAGAAGAGAAAAGGCTAGTATCTCACTGGTGGCCAGGCATTCATTAGTGACTAGATAGGATGAGTATTAAACAGTGAATAGGAAGAGTCCAGACCTAGCTACTAGGAATAATTAGAAGGTATTGACAATACATTAAGGACAAATGCACAGTTTCAGTGCTAAGTTTCTATTGATAGTCTATGTTTTATTAGCTTTAATGACATTTCTTATACTATAAACCAGCTTCTGCATCCTTAAGCCTCATTATTTCTACTTCAGAAAGGCCATAGGGAATATTTCATTGATGAGTAACAGTTCATTACCATCTGAATGACTAAGGTACTATAATGGTATATTTCAGTCACCAAAAGTGTCAGTATCTCAAGGAACCCTAATGTAACTGCACAGAAATTATATAGAACATGGTATGTAACTTTGAAAAGTACAATTTTACCTCAACAGTGAGTGTGATTTTGAGTTCTTTTGTGACGAGGATCAATTTCTTCATAGATAGCTCTGAAACAGAAACAGCCATCATGGCCAAAGGCTATTAAAATGATCAGTTAATACAATAGTAATGCATTAATACCAATTTTTATTTTTTTTTTACCATATTAATTTTTAACTGCTTGTACCTTAACTAAAGATTTGGTGGTTGTTAGTTTAGCCACATCAGTGGCTAAAACCAGAGAACTATGCTCCCAAGCTCCCATTTGTGCTTAAATTCTCGTATCGCAATTCTTAAACATGTTATAAATACTTAGTGTATAATAAGTTCAATTTTGTCATTTAAAGGAAAAATACAGCTCACATTTGGACAAATTGCTGTTCATCTCTTCCTGGTTTCAAAAAAAAAAATGTTCTGCTCCAGCTTTTTCCGTTTATGTAAATACAGTTTTTGGTACCAGCAGCCAGGAAATTAAAAGACTAATTGCATTGGGAAAGTCTGCTGTTAGAGACATCTCCAAGGTACTGAGGAACAATGCTGTCAGTCTGGAGACTAAGGTGTGCCTGATCCAGGCCATGCTCTTTGCAATCACTTGCTATACATCAGAGAGCTGGACAATGGCCAGGGATTCTAGAAGGAAAGTTGATGCCTTTGAACTGTGGTGCTGGAGAAGAGTGTTGAATATACCACGGACTGCTAGGAGAACAAGTTCGTCCTAGAGAGTGTGTGAAGCCAGGCTGCTCCCTGGAAGCAAGGATTCTGAAGCTTTGACATTCTTTGGACATGTAAGGAGGGATTAGTCCTTGGAGAGGGACAGTGCAGGAGAGGAAGACACTCGGATTGATTCAGTGACTGGGGTAATGGGGATAGGTGTGTCGGAGACAATGAGATTGGAACAAGATAAAGCAGGGTTTAGGGCTGTTGTACATAGATAGGGTCGCCATGAATCGCAGGGGATGCAACAGCACAGAACAACAACACTTACAGTTCTGAGGGAGCTCTGGTGGCCTAACGAGTAGTACGGAGTGGCGCTGCCAACCCAAAGGTAAGCTGTTTGAATCCACTAGCCCCTCTGCAGGAGAGAGATGGATAGTCTCCCGTGCAATTTAGAGTCTGAAAACCCACTGGAGGATCAGCTATGGGTCAGTTCAGACTCAATGGCAGTGAGTTTGAGCTGAATTATCGTCCTGAGTGACCTTTACTTAGAATATAGCATACAGCGTTTTTTCTGACATCTTCATTTATTCAATTCCTTACACATATTTATAGATAGAAAATGGTATCAAAACCCGTAATTGAAACATGGATATACAAATCAAACTACCACCATAATCCCCAGCTTCATCAGGCCTCCTACCTGGCTCCACAATCATGTTTTCTCCAACAAGAATCACCCGATTTCCCACAGATCCATTCCAACTTTCTTTAGCCCAGGATTCACTCTATTCCATAGCTCACTTTTTAATTGACTCTCATGATGCAAAAGTTTCCTTACTGTCCATCCCTCAATCTCTAGTTCTTTGTGTCTGCATCCACCCTATGATGTAATTCTGCCTTCTGAAACATCATTCACTCTCAGCCGTCTGTTTCTCCTGAATCTTCAACCTGCTCTCTTTGAGATCTTCCCCTCAGCATTCAAAGATGCTGCAGCATCTCCAGTCTTACAAGATGCAGTCTTTAATTCCCTATTTACTTAAACTCATTAATCAGCCAGACCCTTTCCATTATCCTTCCACGTGTAAACATCTAAGAAGTTTGATCTGTATGTATTTCTACCTCATCTCGTATTTTTAAACACACTAAAAACTGACTGACCCTGGAGGACATTATGCTGCATAAAATAGTAAGATGAAGGAGAGAACTGTTTAAAAGGGATGTACAACTAGGTATTATTGTTATGACAGAAGTCCAAAATGAAGACAAATAACTGCATAATGACACTGTTATAAAAGAGGACTGACATAGGGGTTGGGGGGAGACTGAGAAAGAGGGCATAAATAATGTATACTGCATTGAAACAGATGAGGGAGAGAACTGTTTAAAAGGGATATTGTTGTTGTTGTTATGTGCCGTCGAGTCGCCGACCCTATGTACAACAGCCCTAAACTACTCTCTGTCCTGTGCCAATCGCACTGTCTCTGACACTCCCATCCCAATTATCCCAGTCACGGAATCAATCCACCTCATAGAGCGCCTTCCTCTCCTGCGCCGTCCCTCCACCTTCATGATTAGGTATTATTTTTATGTCAGAAGTCCAAAATGAAGATAGCGCAGTGGAGTGGACTTGGAGGGAGGGATTGTATAACAATGAAAGAATTTTACTTTTCAAAGAGAAGAGTGAATTGGGGGGCAGGGAGAAAATTGCAACAATGAATGAATGGAAATCCAAAGTCTCTGTAAACTTTCATTAAAATTAATTTAAAAAATAAAAACTGGCTTTCACACATCCGTCTACAGCAATGACTGTTACTGAAATAACAATGATCTCCATGTCTTAAATTTAACCTCTTAGCCGTGTTCATCAGAACTGTGGACATTAAATGGATACCCTCCCTGCCTACAAATTGCAATTTCCACATCTGTAAGGCTCCAGATTTCTTTTTTTTTTTCT